ATATATATATATATAACACTGTGATTAACATCCATACAAAAATCACGTCAACTCTAACCATGATTAATGTTTATTTAAACTTCAGAGATACACCTAAAGTTTTTGAGATCATAATGGATTTTCCAAAGATCTTAATGTAAAATAAAATAGTCCAATGGAGATTAACTACAATGGAATATATATATATATATATATATATATATATATATATATATATATATATGAACTCGAATTTTGAGATAAATAAAAGAAAGTTACCCTTTCTCTAGAAAAGCAGTTACCCATTGTTCAAACAAAAGATGAGAACACCAATCATTTACTTACTAATTGTTGTAAGATTATGACAGGACCTTTGGTCAATTTTGACCACAATCTCATGTACATGAAGATAGGTAGATAGCAGCAGCCAACCTAGTACTTCATGATGATAAAGAGAGAACCCACATTTAAGCATTATGAAGATAAATGAGATTTAAACCATTGATTTCCAAGTCCTTATGCTTCTGCATTTATCATCTCACCTGTTCTGAATTTGTATAGGGCAGTGGTAACAAAACACCACCCCCCCCCCCCCAAGTCTATGATAATATGAAGATCAAAAATGAAAAGGGGAAAAAGATCTCATCAATAGATGCTTGTAGGAATTAAGACATCACAAATGGGTCAGCTTTTGTGTCGATGAGAGAACTCTGGTATGGCCTAGTTGAAGCCTGTGGAGAACATATCATAGGGGCATAAATTAGCAGACTTTAGTTGGTAGAATTAGCATGCAAATGAAGATCAAAGATACAACCTTACGGGTAGTTAATGGAACATTTCATCCAGCTTCTGTCTGTAAAGAGCCAAACTCTGCATTCACAGGCAAGAGAATTGCATTACTCACAATGAACAAGAACAAGTGGAACTTGAATTGTTTTAACTCAGATATAAGAATAGGAACCATTATTAACTTAACCATGTCCAAATCATTATTTTTTAATGTTGCTGTCTTAATTTTAGTTTCAATGACTTCAAAGATTATATCTTCTAGCATTCCAAGTTAACTGCAGTATGGAATCTTAATTTTTTCCCTGCGAATATAAAATCCGTTTAATTATGCAATATGTCATATGTTAACAAATTAAAATCTAAAATCCAGGATTCTGATTAATCCAGAAAAGTAATTGTTCTCTTTATAAAAATCCAAGGCATTGAAAAATCAACATCACATACATGTCGCTAGAAGCATAAGAAAAGTTATTTTAATGAAACAAACTTCCTTCACCTGAGGTTATGTGGTTGTTTAAGTATATGTATAAAGTATTTTATATTTAGTCATTCTAGTACATATATGGAGTTCTAAAACATCTTAGATTTGATTTTACCTCCTATTTCTTGACTATAATCTGATACTACATTTATTGTTACTCATTTTATTTCTATAAAGCATTAAGCCACTATCCCAAATTTCCTTGCAGCAACAGAACATTCAAAATCTCGTCTGAGATCATCAATTATGACTGTTGCATCAGCAAACAGCACATACTGTTTCATTACAAGTTGCATTCTGCTGTTAAGTTATCATGCAGTCTAACCATTTCGACTCACCATAACTGATTCTAAAATATGCTATAGCTTCATTAGATTTTCTTAAGCAGCTTAATTAAATCCTTTTACATAAATCAATCCTTTGGATTCAGTACATGATATAGAAAGATACTTAAATCTATTTGCCCACCTAAGAACCAAAACAGAAAGAAAAAAAAAAACACTACACAAGAACATCTTCCTGTCACAATCAAATAATATATGATTCTGAACATATTGCCCACCCTATGAGCTAGAACACAAAAGATGAGCAAACCTCCTGACCTTACAGAGAACCAAAAGAGTTAATCAAACCAAGGAGATATAATTGATATACCAATGGCTCCTAAATATGAAATTAAATATTTTTGCATAAATGGCTCATTATTTGCATTTTGAATACCAGAACTGGAGCAAAGGGCTTCTTGCCAGTTGCTTAAAATTGAAACACTAATTTGTTGAACAAGTAATGGAAAAGCGTTAGAATGTACAGAAAAGAAAACTTTCAAGACAGACAGAGCATAAGTTTCTAGAATATAACAACAGAGAACCGTCAATTTCTCAATACCATCCCTTTTCTTTCTTGCATATTCAACAATCAGATTATCTTAAAAGCTAGAAATATACATAGTTTCATGCAAAATATACATCCATGTAGACTTATCATAGGCAACTAAATGACATTGTGAAAATAAAAGGATATTATGCCAATCAAAGGAACAAGCATAAAGTGGTAACTATAAAGAGAAATATATTTGATGTGTCAAAGTTGCATACTCTGGTATAAGCATAAACACCAGCCTCAGAAGGACCGGTTGGGCTTCCTCTCCTAAAAAACTTTCCATCCTTGAATATATAAAGCATAGGAATGCCAGTTGACAGTTCAAGGCTGATGACCTGAAGGTGAAGTAATAATTTTGACCACATCAAAAACAGTTAATGTAATAAACAAAGCTTCTAATAATAAAAGCTCATCTCCTCACCTCCTGAGAAGTCAACTTGTCCAGGTACATAATAATGGACCTAAGCGAGTTTCCATGAGCAGCAATCATCACATTTTTCCCAGTCAAGAGTTGAGGTACAATCTATCATGAAATCCTTCCCAGTGGTCAGGTGACTGAGGGTGATATATAATGTACTACATCCTAAATAGATTAAAACAGGATAGTTCTCAGGTAGCTTAAATTCAAGATATCAGCAAATGTTGCTGTTTATGTTAGGATATACAGCTTGTGTCAAGATACAGTCAAATTAACTTCTACAGTCAAATTAACTTCTTCACTGACATAAAATTGCTCAGAAAAACAGAACATTATATCCATGTCTTATATAATCAGTAGAATACACATCAGTAGAATACACATAAGATATGCTAGGTGACAAGGAACATAAAATTCTAACGTTTGCCACCATATATGCAAACTTAACTAAAATGCCTATCTTGCTATAAAAACCATCATAAACCTTAGATTTTGTCAAACTTATAAAATCTCAATTCAGACAACAAAAGAAAAAGTAGTGAAAACTGCAAAATCAAATGCACACCAGTCTTGAGCAAGGAAAAAGACATTGATGTCACCTTCTTCACTAGATTTATTTGATTTTGAGGTTATTTACTAGCCTTCAACATTCAGTAGCTCCAACAACATTAGGTTTTCAACAATAATGTTTGATCAAATGAGTGCAGTCAAAAAAAAAAGTCTTGGGCAACAGAGAGTTTAGGTTTTCAGAATTCTAAGACGGTGGAATTTAGATGGTATCATATTTAGGGAAGAGAGGAGAGGAAAATAAGAGAGGAAATTTCTTGGACACACTTCAAGTCCTCTGAACTCACTTCAATGGACAATTTGTAGCCTCTCACAACTCACACATATTGTGGGAGAAAAAATTATTCATTTAATAACTGATATGTACCTGATATACAAATTACAATCCCTTTTCTGCTTTTTATAGGATCCAAGCATAAGAAAAATGGACAAATACAGAAATAAGAAATATGAAGAAAGGATAAAGGCTTCATATCATACGATGAAGTTGTTCTGACTCACTTGATGATTTTTTTAAAAAAACAAGAACTGAACTCCATGTGACAGTAGCTGAAACTTCTAAAAATAACTTAATCATCTACTGTAGTCCTTACTTGCTCTTTGAAATAAGCCACAGCTCTATCAGCACACATCTCCAAACTCTCACCATCTGGGGGAGGAATATCATAACTACGACGCCATTCTTGAACTTTTTCTTTTCCAAAACGGTCAGCTGTTTCTTGCTTATTGAGGCCTTGTAGTTCACCATACCTAGAGAAAACAATGGAAGAGAGTGAAATCATGTGACATCCTGATGTAAGCTTCATAGTCATCTCATATACAGAAGGATAAAAGAAAAAGAAATTACATTCTTTCATTCAGTTGCCAAGATGTTATCACAGGAATGGATTGTTTCTTTGTTTCTTCACTGTGTATCTGACTCCATTTCCAGGCCTGTTCACTCTCATTGTGCTTGATGATTGGAACCTGAATTAAAATTAATGTGCAAGGAAGGAAAAAAAAAGTTGTTCAGGCTTATTGGTAATTTAGTATATTAAGAGATGCTATGGATACAAAGGAAGTTTTTCACATAATTAACAAGGTTAAAAGTAAAGGAAGAAACAAAAACCTTCTTGCGGCGATGTTGGGTCATTGCAAGCATAGCAGTCATCTGAGCACGAATCAGTGAAGATGTATAGATCATGTCAATAGGTATATTGCTTATTCTTTTGCCGGCTTCAATTGCTTCCTCCACACCCTTTTGAGTCAAAGGTACATCAACACATCCTGTGAAAAGATTTTTCTCATTCCATAAAGACTCACCATGTCTTATCAGTATAAGTGCAGTTTCATCTGCAAAAGCAATAAGATAATACTTAATGTTAATTAAAAAAAAATCAATATCTAGTTACAAAGAAGTAAAACTTCTAATGAAAATGCATAAGCAGTCTAAAACTAGCCACTACAAAAATAGTTTAAAAACTTTCTCATCTTTGTCCCCTTTTTTGGCTGCTAGCAGCCTAGTTTGTCATCTTTGGACATACAGTTGCTAGAGAATTACTTAAAGAATAACCAAGGTTTGCCAGTTGCATATAACATCCTATGCGATGTGAGGAGTATCAAAGTAACAGAAAGAACTGCAAGATACACTTACCTGATTTTTTCCTAAAATCTTTAGATTCGCCATTTGATGGTATTTGAATTGGATTGGCAACTGGAGAAGAGCTTGATGCATGAACCGTAAACAAATTCCTTCTCACAGAGTAGCAGATTGCTCTTGAAAGAAGTCCCATGTCTATCATAGAGCCCTTGGAAACTATTTTCCCTGAAAAGCTTCCAACTTTATTTTGCAATCCCTGAGTTTGGATGGAACTGAGGGCATGATGGCATGCCATTGAAGCCATTCTGCTGTAGCAGACACCAATGTGAGAACACAATATTGTTGGTTACATGATTTATTGCTTCAAAAAGAAAAATAAAGGATAAAACTTTATGAGAAAAGAACATAAATTTAATGCGTTTTTCAACAGCATAATCACAGTACAGTTGCGATAAAAATGTCTTCTATCTAACTTTCTAGCTTGCCACAAGGGTTCCATAACATACGTCAACTGCAAGATTGCACTAAAACCAGTGTACGATGGCATAAAAAGGAAAAAGGAAATGTTGGTTCTTCCAAAGAATAAAAAGGGAAAAGTGCTAGGAACATGCAAGAATCAAATTCAAACATTTAGACCACTGATCGAATTACCACGAGATGTGTCGAAGGCAATCAGTTCTCCACCGACGGGACTCAAGAACGGATCTTTATGAATGAAATTTCTGGATTTCAACTAGCAAATGTACTCTAGAAAACGCAGCGGAAAGAACAAAAATATCCCCTTATGAGGGCAAAAAGGCGTTCCAATCAAACCGATAAAAGAACTCTTTTCTCTACGGTTCTACGCATTTGGGAACACTTTGTAGGAAAACGAAAGAAGAATGTGAGAGTCAACCTTATTCGGGCGCACAGGAAGGTCGATCAGAGCCCGAAAGGCCGCAATATCTGTAGCGTTTTCGTTGAACCCCCGCGACCCGATTTGATTACGGTCAAACCGAGGCCAAGAGAAGCAGCGATCGAACGGATGTGTGTGTGAGAGAGAGAGAGACAGAGAGCATTTCTTTAGAAGGCGATCGGAGTCGGAAAAGGAGCAAGCTTCAATCGGCCGAAGCGAGACGGGTGGTCGTGTGATTTAAAATGACGACCTTTGGCAAACTTGGCGTAACGGAGAGAGAGGGGGGTTTCGTGGACACGTGGAAAGAAGGGGAAAACGTTTTCCTTTTGGTGGAAACAAAAGCAAAAGCAGAAACCGAGAACCAAAAAGGGTTATCTCGTCTTCCAACGTGCGTCGGCTTCAATTATGGTGAGTTGACCAAATTGTCAATGATTGAAGTTATTTCTTTTATGCCTTTTCTTGCAGACATAAAGATGCTAATCAATCTAATTGGCATCATGAAATTTCAATTTCTGATAGTGATAAATCTATTTATACGATTAATTGTTTGTTAAAATAAAATTTCACTTTCTGTGACTCTCTGAAGATACAAATAGATTAATGATTAACATTTTACAAGTTGAACAATACTCACATTGGTGCTACAAAACTTTTGTGATTGCTTCAATGATTAACCCTTAGAGAAACTAAATTATGTAGAAGATTTTTGTTTTTGTGTTCAATATTTATGGAAAAAATTAATATAAGATGAATTTTTTTTACTGTCTGAAAAATTGCTATATTTTTTTTCTTTTAAATTCATTTTATCTGTCAGTGATGAAAAGATTGTTATATGTCTAGAATTTGTAGAACTATTTAATTATCTTCCTTATGAATGCTCATAATCTTGATCAGTTGTTCTATGAATTTGATTTGACTTGTGGATAACAAGTTCATTAGGAATGAAGTTAAAACTTTGATGGTACAAAATGCATACAAGATTTGCTGAATGAGAATAAGATAAGAGTTTGACTTTTTGGTTGTAGCTGCTCCTACCATCAAAGCATCCTTCAACCTACAATCTCACAGTTTGTGTTATACAGTTGTTCCATATATGAAATAATGGTTCAGAGAAGAAGTTTGCATCTCTCTCTGTGGCTGATTGAAGCAATCAATGGACTGAACACCATGCATGCATCAAAAAGCCAGCCCCCATGTTCTTGAGTACTGCACCAGTGCAGCAGTGTGTCTATCGTACAAGCTGAGGTTGCTGCTTCCCATGTTCTCTGAGTGGAGGACACTGGGCAGACCAAATGAACAAGCCATGACTCCCATCAACTAGCAGCTGCTGTTCTGCTCTGGAGCAAAGATAAAAAAATATGGTGAGCCTGTTTCATTTCTTCGTCTTGCTTGTGACTGCTGGTTGATGGTTTGTTGAGAAGAAACTACACCACCTCACCTAAAAGTGTTTCAATCAATCACAACATGATACCTGTAGTGCCTATGTTTAAGTGGTCCTATAAGGAGCATCACTGCCCTCCCAAGGGACAGCATTCAAATCCTTGTTTGTCAAGGATCAATTCAGAATTGCTCTTCACTGCTGCAGATTACTGTAGTGTTGCTACCTTCTCAAACAGTAGACATAAATCCACAACATTAAATTAGTTGGGTGCTCTCTTACTACAGCTAAGAGAATAACTCAGAGATACATGTTGCATGAATTATATTCATAATATGACATTACAAGGACAGCCACTGACGCTAGACAATTCATCACATAGACAACCAGAAACTAAATGAGGTATCATATCCAAAGAGATGCTTTGACTCATACTTCTTCACCTTTGAAATGCCCTACTCAGCAAGGCCAGAACTCAGCCTTCTTCACCTTTGATATCTTCTCCAGGACCCCCTCTGGGGAAACATAGCCCATGACAGTAACCCTCTTTGACTCCAGTTCTATGCTAAAGGATGTCACCCCTGCCATGTTTACTAAAGTATATATTCAGGAGAAAAAGATTATAAAATAGAAACTCGAGGATTGTCTATATCTTTTGCCAATTTATGGAACTTCTTTTTTTGATTGGGAAAACTAATGTGTATACCTTCCATCTTAGAAATGTGCTTCCTAACTTTTCCTGCACAGGCTTGACAGTGTAGTGAGACTCTCATAACCACAACCTGGCAAAACAAAAAGACAGAAACGATGACAAAATCATTTATAGTAGACAAAAAATTAGACTGAAAAATGTGATGTTTTATGGATGAATTATACATGTAAAGAAGAACCAAAGGTATTTCCAATGCAACTACTCTACATCTACTCTACCACTCTATATTGGGTGCTGTTGCTCTGATTGAATCTACTATCCTTCTCTTCTGATTTCATAGAATAATGTAATCATCACTACAGTTTAATGATCTCGTGGAAGAAAGTAATATTCTTCAAAACAAAGAAGAACGAGAAAAAGAAACTAAAGCTTCGACTTACTTGAAACACATGATGATTAGATGGAGGGAAGGAGGAGATGAGGTTGCTGCCGCTGGAAGGCTTTCGTGGCACTCGCTCTTTCTTCATGACCATCGGAAGGGTGACTGATCTCCCATCACCCGAACTGAACCTGCGGGGATCGCCGAGGCGAGAACACTTGACGTCGACGAGAGTCCTGTCGAGCTGCCGCGGCACGATCATCAACCGAGGATCGTCGGGCACGCACACCGCCGTGGCCGACCGCGACCGGCAGAGCAAGCCGTTGGCCTTCATTCCTGCAGTGAATGGGTGAGGGGGAGAGAGAGAGAGAGAGAGAGAGAGAAGAAGAGTTCAAAGTGCCAGGAGTGTGGAAGGTATCTATATTCCACTATGATACATGGAGGTGAACAGGGAGGGGAAGGGTGGTACTTGAAAGGAGTAGATGTAGCTAATCTTCAAAGGAGATCTACTTGGTTAGTATTATATGTGATCTGATCCAAAGACTTCAAAGTTTGCATATATTTATCGGTCGGTGAGATAACCTTTTCAACATTGCTTTGGGTAGAGATCGTTATCAGCACTGCATGTGGCACAATTTGAAGGGATGTGATCCAGTATGTGCAAATGAGCTCAGCTCAGCCTGCAAACATGCCGATGGATGAATGAATGGCAGTCAAACGACGTGGGAAGTGGCCTCGACCAGATTCGACGTACATATGTACGTTAATACGTCAACCCGAAGGCAGAGGCTGCAGCGAAAACAACAGTTACTCCTCCATTACTGTCTCTTACAGCAGCAGGGTAAACGAGAGGATGGGAGAGAAGCATTGCTTGCGTTGTTCCTCCGCCCACCCTCTCTTTAGCTGAAGGTCTCAAATGGATGGACCTAAACGAGGAGATTTCCAGCTCTCACATGAGTTGAGTTGCTGTAGCTCAGAGAAAGAGAATCAGTACAAATTACCTGTTCAAAGAATGAAACTCTGTGACGGGATGCTGTTCTTTGTTAGATATACTTTCCCTTCATCTTGTGTGTAATGTTAGTTGAAGCAACTTGCACATTTTGACTTCATCTCTCCTTCTTCTACAAACTTTTCTCTTTAATCTATTGCTAATCGTGAAGGAATAAACAGGTGCTGGTAAGTATGTAGAATCAGGTCAGAACTTGGAAGGTCCATATTTGCTTGACCAACCTTCTACCTAAGAAAGCAGAGAGACAACTGGTAGTTGCCCAGAGCTGCCAACCAACCATGCTTCACTGCTTTAGCAGTGTGCATGCCCCCCATGTGGAGCTCCTCCCCACAGCCTCTGTCATGTCCCCATCACCTTTCAGGGCGGGTAAAAATCGAGCCACATCCACCCCAACTCATCCTGCAAAACCTATTTAATGGCAGCAGACACTGTCGCTTTGGACGCGCAGAGAGTAAATGTACTTGCATATCTTGCACGATGACTACCTTTTTGGTGGTTATGGCCACAACCGGACCAAGTTCCTCAGCGACAAGTTTCTGAAGTATGTTGCACTTGGAAAGCTCTACTACTACCAATTTCCTTACGGGAGGTGCTGAGATGATGATGCTGACAGTGCAGGATAAGTATATATTGAGCTATTTGGCATGAATTACATAGAGAGAGATTTCATGATTGATATGTCCATGACAATGTCAAGAATTGCTGTAGAATGAGCATCAAGGAGCAATAGCTTCTTCCCTCATTGGTTACGATCACTACAAGTGCATAGCAGAGTTGTCAGTATCGAGTTCAGAAGGTCAGTTGGAGCTGAGTTGGTAGCCGTACTGAGCTAGTGTCAACGCAGAGAGAGAGAGAGAGAGAGGTATTGCACAAGGATTTGCTCTAGTTGGATGGTAAGCAAACACAAAGATGTCATGGATCTTCTCCCACAGTATTGTTAATGGGAAAATACTGATGATTCAATATTTCGAGCTTAATGCATATACTTCATCACTGCCTAGATACTAGACACTTGGAGGTGCTTGGTTCGTTCATGCAGTAAGATACCTCTAATTCACTTTCTTCTATATATCTGTTTAAGAAGAAGAAGAAGAAGAAGATGATGATGATGAAACAAGGTTCTGTTTCCTCATAGATGATGAAGTCGTATACCAATATGATGAGTCAGGCACTGTGAGCACCTTCACCTTATGACATCATGTAATATTATTGTTAGATTTCAGTACATGTAATGCTACCTAATTGCATTTTCTTTTTCTTTGATGTACAGTTGAAATCTGCAGTAGTTGTCACATTGGCTTCAGGCTGAAGCAGAAGGCATTACAGCAATAGTGATGACAGGCAAGCATGCCAAACTTCTCTTACTATTTCAAAGATCGTATCTTTGTAGTTATCACAATAATTGTGTGGTGGGAATGTTCTTCACAAGAAAAGACAGGCATGAAAACTAACAGCTACAAGAAAACCAGATCAATACTGCTACTCTTCATATTTGATACACAAGAATACAATCTGATACAGCTATGTCTTGTGTCATTTCCTTTCTGTCATGCCTTGAATCCTCCGCAAATCTGCAGGAGAACTGTCTATAATTCGGAAACAGTGCTCTCTGCATGCTTGCTTGCTGCACAAGGTTTGAACACACTAATTTGCCGGCCTCACCTATTTTATCCTCCGAATTTGTTGTGATTGCTAAAAGAAACTATTGTTTTAATTATAACAAGTAGGGAAGATAATAGTCTGATTTTTTGAGCACTTAAGTTGTCATTTAATGTGTTTACGAACCATAATAATTTTCATGAATCTAATCTGAGACAAGAAAGGACTCCCCATCTTCGTGTTGCTTTCGATGATCATGACTTCCACCGTCCGTTGTCAATAGTCAACATAAAAAAAGTCATAGAGAGAGAAAAAAAGGGGAAGCATCATATCACGGGACGTTTGTGACGACACATATGATCGATCTTTGTGACGACGAAAATGATGGGATTAGGTGATGATGACCCAAGTTTCTTATTGTTCTTTCTCCTTGGGAAGTTGCATGGCAATCCCGCCATCGATGTTTCTTAAGGCTTATCCCTTTGAAATCTCCACTTGAGGAGGAAAGCTCCACAAACGCGGATGGATTGGTTGAAGGAAGAAACAACGCCAACTCCCACAAGTCTTGAACGCGTCGTCCTTCGACTCTCTTGCTTTGAAGGGAGGTAATCATCATCTACGAAGACCGGTATTAGTAAATGAAATTTAGAAAAGGTAATATATCAGAGCTTCAATCAAATAATAATAGTAGACTCAGCTACTAATATGAATCTAAATCAATATCTTAAAATACTATGACTAAACTGATTCACCCTATGGATTGATCTATAGCAAAAGGGAGAAAGAAAAAAAAAAAATGTGACTCAGGTATTCCAAATTTTAGACCACAAAAAAAAAGAGATATTATTAGAGAAGTCTGAAAATGTGGGGACACTTTCCAGGAAAAGTCCTAAAAAATAATTTTTCAAATATTTGACTAATTATATTTGTCACACTTGATAAATAAAAATAGGACGATTCTTTCAAAAAGAAATAAAAGTCAAGTTCAAATTTAGGATGGATTTAACTTCTCACCAACCCAATTACTTGTTCTTTGTTAAATACGACCTTGACTTTATCTCGGTCGTCTCAGTCAACTACAAAATATGCCTCGTAAGCTTATGATTACTAATAATATTATTATTATTATATCTCCTTCAAGTCTTCGATGTTTGACCGAGATTTTAGTTGATCTGATCCATTCCGTTCACATTCATCTTAAAAACCGCATGGAAGTAAGGAATAATATGAGTTATATGATCCACATGAACGACAAATAGAGATACCGTACACGCATAAAGTTCGCTTCCGAGAAACGACAGCTAAGACAGAAATAATGTATGATTTTTTTTTTCCTTAAAGAGAGATTAATCTTTGCTTACGAAAACCAAACGATACGATTCCTTTTGCGTATGAGCGAATCAAAAAATAATAATTAATATTAATGTTGGTAGTGCGTTTTACCTCACTTATAATAATTGTTTTATTTTTGGAGTGGATTTCGATTTGTTGAACCGGTTTAGAATTTATTGAACCAAATCTGAACCCATCTAGAAGGTCAAAAGAAAAAAGGAAAGATTCCTCGCCTTTTATGGGCAAAATTGAAAAGGAAATAAAAATAAAAAATGGTTTTAAGACATATAAAAAGAAAGATAAATGGTTTTTCTTTTCCATTAGAGTCGGTCAATCGGAAAATTTCTTGCTCAAAACCTCGTCGGTGCCGCCAAAGTTGACTGACCGCAGCTATTTTGGACTCCCCGGTAGAACATCATATAAAAAGCCTTGCGGTCTCCTTTGTGCAGAGCCCGCATTGCTTCACAATCTCTCGCCTCGGCAGCAGCAAAGAAAACGTTTGTGGAAGATGAGTGCGTCATACAGCGCTTCTTGGCGACGAGGCAATCCACGCCTGCTGCTGCTGCTCCTCTGCACGATCTGGTCAACTACTGGGCTCCTGGTGCAAGCCAAGGTGCACTACCACAAATGGGATATCTCGTATAAGTTCAAGTCGCCGGATTGCTTCAAGAAGCTAGCCGTCACCATCAATGGCCAGACGCCCGGCCCAACCATCAACGCCCAGCAGGGCGACACCATCGTCGTTCGAGTTAAGAACAGCTTGCTCACCGAGAACGTCGCCATTCACTGGCATGGCATCCGTCAGGTGCTCACACCGCTTTGTTCTTGGAGGGGAAATCACTGCTTTTGTTCTAATAGATGGCGGTGGAAATCATGATTCTTGTTTGACTTGCAGATCGGCACGCCTTGGTTCGATGGGACCGAAGGAGTCACTCAGTGTCCGATCGTCGCCGGAGACACTTTCGTCTACAGATTTGTCGTCGACAGAGTAAGTTCTTTACTCGCACAAGGATTGGATTCGACCGACGAAGAAGAAAAGAACTCAAACTGATTCATTCTCTCTCTGCAATTGATCTCAGCCTGGTACTTACCTCTACCATGCCCACTACGGGATGCAAAGGTCGGCAGGGCTTTACGGCCTGATCCGAGTAGCGGTGCCGGACGGCGTCGTCGAGCCATTCGCCTACGACTACGACCGGAGCATCGTTCTCAACGATTGGTGGCACAATAGCACCTATGAGCAGGCCACCGGTCTTGCTTCCATCCCCTTTGTTTGGGTTGGCGAGCCTCAGGTATGGTTCGAAGGTTTCGGAACTATCATGAATGTACGCAAGCTGAAGACTAAGTTTCGTCTTCCTTCTCCTGCAGTCTTTGCTGATCAATGGAAGAGGGAAATTCAACTGCTCCCTCGCCGGACCAACCGCGGTCTGCAATGCTACCAACCCCGAGTGCTCGCCCTACGTGCTCACCGTCGTGCCCGGAAAGACTTACCGTCTCCGAATCGCAAGCATCACCTCCCTCTCGGCTCTCAACTTCGAAATCGAGGTAACCGC